CTTCTTTGGCGGTGGCGGCTGGAACGGTCTAGGCAAGCTCAGAACTCTGCGCAATGCCTCTGTCATGCATAATCTCATGCGGACGATGAGTCCGTAGTGGCTTTTCCCTGCTCCCGCGATGGGCTCGGTGTCAGCCACAACCTCACTTATGAGGTGCTTCGCCGACGTCGAACATACAAAAAAATCCAGCATTCGACAAGGCGAGACTGTGCACGTATACTCTACATTGTGGGCTACTCTGATGTCTCCTGCTACTAAATGAGGCCATCCGCTTACCTGGAGCTCCTCTGGCTCACAGTTCCAATCGCCAATGACAAGCCACGGTGTACGAAGGGACTGCAGCAAAGAGCCCAGGCTGGCGAGCTTGCGGGCGTTCTCGCCTCGCAAACCTACCCCTGTGGTAAGATAGATTCCAAAGATGCTGAACGCCTGTCCTGATACTTTCGTCTGGAAACCTACAAAGTCATGAAAATCAACTCCGCTGGTGACAGGCTGCTGTCCCTTCTGAAGGTCACGCATGCCCAGTGTGGCATTTGGCTCACTCGAGAGATGGCGAAACGATTCGAACTGAAAAACTTTCCTGCCGCCTGCGGAAACTCCGCCTGGCCTTAAACTGCTCTCCGATGCGCGGCTCGGAGTCAGCACTGGCTTATAACCTGCTTTCGCCCATGCCTCAAGATGCTCATCTGCCTCGTCTGGACGCGTGTGTACTTCTGGTAGGACGTAGAAGTCATGCTCGCGCTTCTGCAGGAGGTGCTTGGCTGCGGGTCCGAACCTGGACAAGTTCCTCATGTGCAGCGTGTAGTCTCTACTCTGAGCCTCGCTGCCGTCGAAGTGACTGCTGGACTCTCTGCCGCACCCTCTGGATCTCTGCCTCCACCTCCTGCTGTAGGGCCTCTTTCTTGTCGGCCACCACTGGAGCGCTCTCGTCTCCAGCCGCTCTGGGCGGCTCAGCACTGCTTGGGGCACCGCCTGGCCCTCCCGCCCCCGCAGGCTGCTGGTCGCCTGGGGCGGGGGCCTGGCCGCCCACATGCTGCTGAGGAGGGCCACGAGGAGGTGCAAAAACACCCGCACTGGGCTGCTCCTCGGTCTTCCTCTTCTTCGCCCCTCGCGCGGCCACCTCGGCCATTTCCTTCTGGATATTCTCCAGGTCGGCGGTGGGGCCTCCCATCGCTTCCCTGATCGCCTTCTGGAGCAATGTGTTGACAGCCCCCGACCGCTCCTCCACGATCTTGCGGTCTGCCTCCTGGAGTTCCAACCCGTCGAGCAACTTGCCGAACGAGAACTGCAACTTGATGCCGTCACGGATGGCCGTGCCGACGTCGATGACTGGGCTCTGTTCATCGTCCTCTCTGTCGGGCAGGATGCGGCGGGCCGCCTCCACCTCATCCTGCTCCGCTGCCACCAGCTCCTCCGTGGCCTTCTCCAGAGCCATCTGCGCCTCATGGTATTCGTCCTTCGTGCGGATCCAGCACTGGCGGGCCTTGTCCAGCGCCTTCGTAGCTTTGCCCACTCGTGAATTGGCCCGCTGCAGGAGCGCCGCTGGGCGCTCCGGTGGCGGGGAAGGCTGCTTCGGCGCCAGCAGCTGCAGCAGCTCCTCCACCTTACGGCTGGTGCGTGGATCCTTGCCCTCGCCCGCCATGGCTCGGAGCGCAACCTCGAGGTAAGATGCCTGCGAGCGACCCGATGTTCCTCCAGCCCCGCTGCCTTGCCGGCGGCGCCGCCCTGTCCCCCAGGCGCTGGGGCTCCCCAGCCAAGCACCGCGCAGGCAGGTGCTGTTGGCCGCCTGCAGCCTGTCCTCGAACAAGTATCTGGGGCACTGCGAACAGAACACCTTCTTCCTGAAAGGCTGGCGCCGACCCCAGGAGCTCGCGAGCCTCCATGGAGCCGTGTGCTGCTGCTGCACCCACGGCTGGCGACGATACTGCTCATCCGCCATGGCACGCGGGCGCCGCGTATGGAAAGATGCCGAAAAGAAGTCGTGATCGCTGGCACAAAAAACTCGCGCCTCAATATCCTCACCTGGCCTGGCCGTGAGGTGTCACTGTTGGGGGCCGCTGACTTCCCCCACGCCAGTCTGGTCAGGTCCTGAGCCGAATGTGGCCGGACTTGAGCCAAAATGGCTACGGACTCTGTGGGGTTATAGCTTCACACTCGTCCGACAGTAGCTGTTCCATGGGCTTCTCCTATTGAGGCCTCGAGATCCAACGATCGACCGACGGACGAAACGCATGAGCAAACGACGCAACAGAGAAAGGATCCCCTTGGAGCACGCCGCAGCCTGCGCACAAAAGAGGATCACCATCCTCTGCAGGAATGGATGCGCATGCAAGCATGTACCGATGCCGACAAATACGCATCTCCGATCCTCTAGCCACTCCAGGGAAAACGTCGTCCACCGCCGGCCAGGCTGTGGGCGCGAATGCATTGCTTAGATCCCTAGCGACTCTATCCAACAAATTCCAGATTTATCCAGGCGCCACGACGTGCCAAGATTAGTGGCCATAGCGTCTTCACGCCTTCTCCGCCTATGGAATCCATGATCCATCTCAGAGTGGATGCATGGCGGGCCTCTTTTTATCGCGCGTTATATATATATATGTATATATATATACATGTATATATATACACAAAGCGTTCCCGAGCGGGTCCAGACCGCGCGCTACTCTGCGGCCCGCAGGGCCAGGAAGTGCACATTTCTGCAGAGCGAAGCCTTGGCTGCAGGACCACAAGCTCGGGAGGAGACCCGTCTGGCGAGTAAGAAACAACTATGCGGAGCCAGCTTCTAGCTTTTTCGCCACAGATCGGGGGGGTCTCGAGCCTAGCCCAGCGCAGCGACGAGAGCCCTCCTCATCAGGAGGCCCACCGACCCCGAGACCCCACAACTAAATAAGCATCGACCACTGGGGGGCCCCTTTTCCTCTTAGATGCTGTCTTCAGAAAAACTTGGAAAAAAAACAAGTCACCCATGGCGTCCTTATGTCATTGCGCCGCGCGCTCCTATCGAAACGCAAGTAAAACTGGCGGCCCCGCAAAATGTTTTCGATCCCTCCCCAGGTCCTCCCTCTCCGGCCTTTCGCCAACATCCCCCCATCTCCTCCTGGCTTGGACCATGCCGCAAGCCATTCTTCCTGTGTTGGCAGCGCGCCCTGGAGTCTGGAAAAATCTCGCTTCCCACTGCCATGGCGGCCTCCAGCTAACCTCAGGCTCAGCCCGTGCACGGACGCATGGCCCCGGCGCCGCCAGGCTTCATGCATTTCCTCCACCAGGGCCCCACGTCCTGAACCGCTGATTTCGAGCCCTGGCGCATGTCCTGGTTATTTCTTTGAGCCTACGCATGCAATGCTCGAGCTCCGCGGCGGGGCACCCATGCAGTCTCTCACGTAGAGGTCGCCGATGTTCAAGCAGTCGAAGTCTCTCCGCCCTGTGAGGGCCCGCATCCGTGGGGGCATCTCTGGCGAACAACTTGCGTCCCTCATCTCGTAGCACATCCTCGAATCGTTTCATTATGTTCTCCTCGGGGTCCATGTCAATAGTATTCTCCACCTCGGCCAGCCTGCCCTCTACTGCTGCCAGAACTTGGTGTCTCTCATGAGATCCTCGCAGCGCATGCATCAGCTTGTCCCCATGCCACTTCACCGAAACAGATTTGTCTCCACTGGGAGCAGTCCATGCCGTTTGTTGCCTCTGCTCGAAATCCATGTCGATCTCTACTCTTTCAAGCACAACATTGTGATATCGTAGCTGCGCGTCGGTGACCTACTGCGATATACGACCCATGTGTTTCAGATGGCCTTGAGACTTAACCTTGGCGGCAAGCGAACGCGGCATAGCAACATGATCAGTCATACTTGAGTTCCCATGTGCATCAACAAAAAGTCGGTGGTACTCCTCTCTGCGTGGTTGAGAAGAGCCCGCACTCCCCCATTATTTATCGTACGCTATGTCCAGCTCCCCACATCTGCTTTTCATGCGATACTCTGTAACCAATTGTATCCTCCCCCACATTGATCCATTGTCCATCATTCTTCATCAATTCCACCCCGTCATTCACATCTGCCACCAAGAATGCAATCGCAGGATGCGGGGCTTGTCTGGTCACTGTCGACGCCCATCTACTCAGCTTCTCGCAGCACGATACATACTGCGGCACCGATTCGCGATCCGAGGGCTTTGGAGGAAAGTACCACGTGAACGCATAAAAAGATGCTCATTTGAAACGCTCCATATGAGCAGTTGAAACACATAACCGCTAAGGTGTACGTCATCATCTGCTGCTAGTCGCCAGCCACATATAGGGAAAGTATGTGACGATCAAATGATTTCGCGGTCGCAAAGCAGGCTCGCAGCCTTGGGCCAGAACGACGGCGCTAGAAGGTGAATGAGGAGGAGGAGGAGGAGGAGGAGGAGAACGACGACGACGACGAGGAAGCGGGACGAGGGGCGTCACTGGGGGGGGGGCGTTCGCGCAGCAGTTGGGGCAAAAACTGAAACTCCCTGGAGGCACGACCCGTGTGAGGGCTGTGCCGGATTGAAACGGGGGCCGCGTGCGCGCGTCCCCACTGGGGCAGCTGGAGCTCCCTCTAGAGCATGACCCGAACGAGTGGCGCGCCGAACAGAGGCGGTGGCGCCATGCGGGCGCCCCCGCTGGACCCGCAGCTGAAGTCCTGGAGCGCGATGCGCGTGAGGGATGTGCCAAGTTGAGGCGGTGGAGCCATACGGGCGCCCCCGCTGGGGCCCAAGCTGGACTGCCCCAGGTACAGAAGCGAGAGAGCGAGCGCAAGTACACATCCACGAGCATAAGCACAAGTATGCCAGCGGCCAGGTACGAGGCACGGGGTACCACACACAGGGTACCAGGCACAAGGCACCAGGCATAGGGCAGACTGCACAGGGCAGAAGGTATAAAGGGTGTAGGGCACGGGAAAGAAAAGGCAGAAGCACGAGCAGAATGACAAGAAAGAGCACGCCCCTGTCCCTCTGGCAGGAGCCGTCGGCGCCTCCCTCAGCTCGACCAGACGCAGGCGCTTCCACTCCTGGCGAGGGCCCAGGAGAGGGGCTCCCTCTCCTCCAGCTCGCTTGCTTGTGGGGTGACGCGGGAGCGGCCACCTGCAGATGACGTTCGCTGCAAGGGAAACGTGAAAGAACTGGGCTCACGTCAGAAGTCGATATCGATATACCGGCCAGAGAAACATGGCATCATGCGGTGCCCTGTTCATCTGCCCAACTCCGCCCCATTTTCGAAATCGCGATCTCGCCGAGCTCAAAGTGTGCATTGACTGGCGTGTTCTCTCGAAGAGATAGTATGAGGGTTGAGAACGCGATTTGGCCAATTCAGCACGTGGGGCCCGATGACCAGGACCCAGACCTCGAACGCCAGGATCCTTTATGAAGTGGGCCCCGGAGCTCTCCTCCGTTTCCGTTCGGGGATCTACTGACCCGGGTCAGTCCAGATCCGGGTCCGTCGGACCTTGCAAGATCCTGCAAGGTTCTACAGGATCCTGCACCCTAACCTCGGTCAGTGCACCCCTGGCCCTGCGGGACCCTGCAAGATCTGGCGCTCTGAATGACCCCCATTTGCGTTGACTCCCGTCTCTCGAGCCCCGATCCGTCATCCTCCTCCCCCCACGTCCTCACTTGGACCGGGACTGTGCCGCGGGCCTTTCCTGGAGAGCGGCAGGGCCCGAGCACGGCCCCCAGAGACCCAAATGGAGAGAAAGAAAAACCAACTCGGGCGTGTGTGTTTCCCCCCGGTGAGGGCTCCTTGCCCAGAAGTCTCCCTGCGAGGGGGGGAGACAGGAGGGGACTGGCTCAGAGGGAGGGAAACATCGAGTTGGAATCGGCGATGAATCGCCAATGGATCGGCAATGCGCCCCCGATAGCGAATGCACACGCTCCTGGGCTGGGTGGGCTATCGGGCCCCCATCGGCGTTGACTGGGGATTTGAGGGTCGATGCATCCCGCCCTGACATTGCCCCTGGCCCATGGCTTTACCCTAAACTAGCGAACAGCAGGGGGCGTTGGAGGGGGCGTCGAGTAATCCACACGTTAAAGATCGTGCGCAAAGGGGAGGAGTCCAATAATGCGTTCGGAGCGCGCACATCTGGCCCGTTGTTTCACGGTGTGCAGGCACCAACGGAGGGGGTACTGAACATACGCCTGGCACGCGATTTACACGATTCAACGTATAAGATGTCAGGGTGCGGTATCGAACGTGCGTGCGGCAAGTGCTTTGACGTATGACTTGCTCTCACATGTCCTTTTCCTGGTAAAGGCTCCGTCCAGGGTTCTCTCTGTCCGTCGGTCCGTTGACTCGAGACCGGATAAAGCAGGGGGCGACGGAGGGGGCGTCGGATTCTTCACACGTGATACGTGCACTAAGGGGGGATCGAATATGCGTTCGGCGCGTGAGCATTTGGCAAGTGTTTCCACGCGTACGTGCATCCACCATGCGTGCAAGGTGGGGCGTTCCAGGCGGCCACTGGGCGCCCAAGGCGGGCCGCACCAGGCGCCCCCCCCAACCTATTCCACGCTGAAGCTGGAACGCCAGGCCAGAGCTGGAACGCCCTGGCGGCGATGCCGATGCCGATGCCGATGCCTACGACGACGGCGACGACGACGACGACGACGACGACGACGGCGACGGCGACGGCGACGGCGACGGCGACGGCGACGGCGACGGTGACGACGACGGCGACGGCGACAGCGACGGCGACGGCGTCAGCGGCAGCGGCGACGGCGACGACGACGTGAAACCCATGGGCCTTCGCGGACTTGTCGAACGAGGAAGGGTGGAGGATAATGATGAGACGCCGGGAAGAAGAAAAGGACGAGGATGAGAAGGGGGAGGAGGAAGAGGAGGAAGGCGAGCAGAAATGGGAGGAGTTTGTCTGAACATGTTATCACTACACGTCTGGCTAAACCTGGTTGGAGCGGTGAGGATGGGGAGGATGCGGGGGAGGATGAGGAGGGGAGGGGTAGAAGGGGGGAGGCGACGGCGACGATGACAACACCGACGATCAACACACACATGCATTTGCGAAGCTTTCCGTTGGGAGCGTCTTGGAGGCTTTTGGAACGGGCGGGGCCAGCGCCGTGCCCTACGCGGCGCTTCCGCGGGCCAGCGGCCCCAGGTCTACACTGGCCGCGATGACAATGTGGCCCGCCATAGGCAGCCAGGAACGCGTTGGAGATTCGTGAATTGTTCTACCAACTTTTGGCCCCGAACGCCTGCGAGGGCAAACAGGCTGTCACTGCGAAGTGTGGCATTTGTAAGGACTGCACAAAAGCCATATGTTTATACGTTCTACGAGACGGGCAAATTTCGGTTGTCAAGCAACCTGGGGTATGCAAGGACGACAAAAACCAAGTCGTAGTGAAGCGACAGAACTGCCTCAAGTGTGCCGCACCCGGAACACCTGGCAAGGCCCAAAAAAAATGGGCAAGAGAAATGTTCCGGACAAGGAGCGCCCAGACGAACGCTCACTGACAAACTGCCGACGCAACTTGAAGAAGGCGCAGAAGAGCGAGCCCGATGTGCCCCAGACCTTTCCAGCCATCTGCCTTGGCGCCTTCAACCTCTTCTTGGACAATGTCCCAGAAGGAATTCACTTGCTCTGCTCCTCTTCGTACCCCGTCGCGACCGAGGACGATTTTCTCGTGCCGTTTGCTTCACTGGCTGCTCTCTAGATGGCCCCCGATTTGCCTTTAGCGTTTCTGATGGATTCGAAAGCCTTCGGCCAGTGCCGCTCGCCCCGCCACCTTGGTCATCGGCCCTTGCCCTGGGATCGCTGACCCATTGTCATTTCCGAAGGGTTGCGTTTGGGGCTCGCGGGAAGCGGGCCCAGAGCAAGCCTAGACGCATCCTGAACTCCCGCCTGCCCATCCAGCAACAGTGTCTGGGCGGGATGCATTCGCGGGAAAGAAGTGTGGGAACGCGCCGTGACGTGTTCAAGGGCCAGTGGCCGTCGAACTGAATGTCGCAACCTGCCCGAGCAGCCCGAAGCCAACCGCGCGAGCAATGAAGTAGTCGTGAGCCGCAACGCACCCCCGAGGCTGCGCAGCGTGGCCGGCGGATTTCACATTCTAGACGAATTGCCACGGACTTGCGCTCGGAAGAATCGGCTCCGTAGGCTTGGTCGTTGAGGATGGCCTGCCGTCGATGCGATACGTGCCAACGATATTCGTGCTCTCCCGCGAAGAAGACGAGGAGGCTGGAAACATATGCTTGGACCTTTACTTTCAAACGTGCGGAGGCATTCAGAAGTATCGGTACGGGAATTTTGACTACAACTGCTTTCAGACAGCCGAAAAGTATTATGGCGAGTCCTTGTTCCTTCATCTGTGCTTGCAGCACACGAAGGATGTCACCTTCAAGGCGGCCGCCTTCAAGACAAAAACGACGGGGAAGAAACGCTTGGTCCAGAACCCGCTTCTGCCACTTATCAAATTGCCTGCGGTCCGACACGTTTAATGCCGATTGGCAGGAACCTGCACCGCGTGACATGTCGTGCCCCTACTTGGAGCGCCGTAACTTGCGACATGTTTACCGCGTCGCGTCGGCATTGGAAGCGGTTGCGAGTGCGCACGCGGTGATGGTGCTGACGGTAGCGCGGACGATAGTGATTATGAAGAGGACTACGAGGAAAAGGAGCGGAGGAGGAGGAGAGCGGGAAACATAACGTAAGGGGGGAGAGGAGGAGGCTTGTGGCGGGCGAGGAGGGTGAGATGGCGATGGGGAAGAGGAGCAGGAGAGGCCTCTTGGGACCTTTTGGGGTCTCCCGGGGGTCTCCTGGGGCGGTGGGTTCGACATGTCGGTTCATGCTCGCTCTCTGGGGCCACTCTTGGGGCGTTCTCGGGGCCGTCTTGGGCCGCGTTCAAGGCTTCTTGGGCCGCCTTGGGCCGTCTCGCCTCCCTTTTGACGGCCTCGTATCGTAGGCTGCCTTGCAATGATATCTGGGGCCTCTTTGGCCCTCTTACAGCGTCGGCAAACCGAAGAGGCAGAAACGCTAGCAGTTGGTAAAAGTGAACGGGCCTTCAAGGTACGTTTGCATATTGGAGCCCTCTTGGGAGTGCTCTTTTGGGTTGTTCTCTGGGTCTGTTCGCCGTGCTCTCTATAGTGCTGTGCACATCCAGCCGCCACAGTCCGCAGATCCATGTAATGTGCGGATCAGGTCTTGCGGTCAAGTTGGAGGGCCAAGCGGCTCGGTTAGTGGCGACGCGCAAGCCTGCCAAACCTGATGCAACAAAAATAATGTTCCTGCGAAGCCGGCCGCAATCACGCGCTACAGCGACGGAGGTGCCGCTCGCGAGGTGGCCAGCCCGTTTCGCCTGAGACATCCTCGCAGCTCTGGGCTCTGATACGCCTTGACCCGAGGTGGTCCAGCCCGTTTCAACTGAGACTTCTTCGCATCTCTGGACTCAGGTATGCCCGGCCTGAATTGGTCTGGCCCGTTTCGCCTGCGACATCCGCGCAACTCTAGCTCAGAGATGGCCGTGACCTCCTGGGAGCCCGGGGGCCTCCAAGACGGCCTGGGCTTGGGGGGCCCAGGAAGTCGAAAGGGATTATCAAGAAATTCGGAGTGTGGTTCCACGCAGACAAAATTCCCCCCGTCGATTTGTGGATTCGGCGCGGGTAGTACGGATGCCACGCCGCCAATATGTGGATATTGTGCACTTGCACGCGACGACCCCAGGACCACTTGCGGACAACGTGCGTGTCCGCAGATTGTCCTGTGGGCGCGCCCCCTGTCCGCAGATCGTGCGCGCGCAGGCCCAAGCAATGTCCGCACTTGACAGTACGATCTGTGGACCCTGGACATATGTCCTCACTGTACACGACGTCAGCTCGACAACCCGATGGTGGCCCGACCTCGGTACCTAGTCTGGGGGGCGGGGCCCGGATGGGGATCCTGCGCCCGCACATGACAATACAATCTGTGGACTGCCTCGGACACGGGCGGCAAAGCACAGCACCGCGCGGCACCTGGAACATGAGCGAAGGTGAGGAGGGAGGGCGAAAGGACGAGAAGGAAGG